ATGCCCAAAAACTAATCAGTTCTTGATGTTGATATGTAGAAACATCCCTGAAAATTTCAGATGAATCCCTCAAAAGGTTTGGCTGGAAACCTGTAGATAAGTCTTGAAAGTAAAGATTTTAAGATGGAAAATCCAAAATGGCCACCTTAAAATTTACCCAGAATGCCCAAAAACTAATCAGTTCTTGACGTTGATATGTAGAAACATCCCTGAAAATTTCAGTTGAATCCCTTTAAATGGTTTGGCTAAAAATCTGTAGACAAGTCTTGAAAGTGAAGATTTTAGGACAGAAAATCCAAAATGGCCACCTTAAAATTTACCCAGAATGCCCAAAAACTAATCAGTTCTTGACGTTGATATGTAGAAACATCCCTGAAAATTTCAGATGAATCCCTCAAATGGTTTGGCTGAAAACCTGTAGACAAGTCTTGAAAGTGAAGATTTTAGGACAGAAAATCCAAAATGGCCACCTTAAAATTTACCCAGAATGCTCAAAAACTAATCAGTTCTTGACTTTGATATGTAGAAACATCCCTGAAAATTTCAGATGAATCCCTGTAGACAAGCTGAAAAGTGAGACGCCGCACGCCGCCCGCCGCCCGCCCGCCCGTCAAGCTGACTACAATATCGTACCTCTTGTTAGGTACGATAAAAACATATTTCTTAAAGTTGAGGTCTTATTTTTACATAATTTAGCTTGACCACGATTGGATATTGTTTTCCTAGATAATAATATTAATTTAACTAAATAAAAGTTCATTTGTTTTCTTTTTAACCCTTACAAACCCAGAATCAAGGACCAACAGTCCTGTGCTTACACAGTGTAGAACCTTCAGAGGAATGTAAATAGCGATTTTTGAGATCTCAAAATGCCATAACTTCCGAACCGGAATTCGGAGAACTTTTTATTGTGACCTACTTTTCGGATGCCATATGTCAAAAATGGTAAGTGATCAAAAAAATTGCCTGTAGGGATTAGCTTTTTCCAAGGAACATGACTGAAATAAAAACCCGGAGCAAAAATATTGAAGGACAACTGAGAAAATTGAAAAAATGACAAAGTACTGGATTTGACCTAGTTCTCGATCTTTGACTTAGATTAAACCTGATTTGACCTATATCTGGAATTGGACCTGACCTGGACCTTGACTTGGACCTGGAAATGGACTGGACTGGTATTTTTTCAATCTTTGCTTCACTTATCTTGACTTTCTATAAGGCTATCATCAGATCTTAGAAGTTCTTAAAAGAAAAGGTGGTATATAAAAGATTAACTTTTCAGTGGCCATCTTGCATTCTGGCGGCCATCTTGGAAGTTTTTAGATAAATCTTGCCATCACATTTCCAAAAAAATCATAATATATTTATTTCAATTTTTTCAAATGTTACATAGTAAGAAGTTCTAGAGCTAATAAACTTTTCAGAAGCAATCTTGCATTCTGGTCCCCTTTCAGTGGCCATCTTGCATTGTGGTGGCCATTTTGGAAGTTTTTGGATTGATTTTGTCATTGGCATTCCATGAAAACCACTTAATGGATTTACTTCACATGTTACATGGTAAGATGTTCTCCCGCTGATAAACATTTTGGTGGTCATCTTGCTTTTTGGGGAAACAAGCCCACACTGCTATTTATTAGGTACAATATTGTTAACCCTGTGCCTTGTTCTACATTGTACTCATGTATTTAGACACAATGTTGATTGGTATTGTAAAAGTTACTATTCTTAGGTGGTAAACACGATACAAATATATGTCATATTCCGCATCGAATATGGCATATTCACTTGCGGTGTATGCCAGATTCACCCGCGGTATATGGCATATACACTAACCAATGAGAGTGTGTACGCAACTGTCAAATACATTGATTCAAGGAACGTGCTAAAGTCTATAAATCATTATTATGATTACTGAATCGACATCTCAGTGCATTGAAAATATCAACTAATATAATTGAATAGCATACACCAGTACGGTACCTGTATTGTTTGATGTTGTTTTACGTATGTGTTACACACAAATACACATTTCAAGGGAAACATTATGAAGCATAAATAAACGAACTTACATTCGTGAAGCTTATAAGAGACTTTTATAACCAAATCAACAGTTGACAAAAGCCAGATAAAAACTTAAAAAGACCACGAGTATTTACATCTTGTATTGACAATCACGATTTACACATTTCTGATACTTTCAGGAGTATCATTCAGCAATTACATGTAATAAACGTACTAAATCAATCCAGGATTCATTTATATTAGTACTCGTAGCACTAAATATATTGGTAATCCAGCGTAGTTTTACATTTAGAATCGTTTCATTTGACCAATTAAATCGAGACTTTCTGTATCGCGTTTTCATCTGCTGTATATGGCATATTCCACAATTGAGTTAGCCATATTCCACTGGAGAGTATGACATATTCCGCATTGATCTGGTATTACTGCGGAATATACCATACTCACCTGTGGAATATGCCATATACTGCAGGTGAGTATGGCATATTCACCCGTATCACAAATATCGCACAACCATGAATATATGCCATATTCCGCATAACAACTATAAGACTATGGCTGGAATGTGTTAGCACTAGTGCTAAAGGGTAATGACCAAAAATTGTTCAGAACAAAGTAAGAAAAAGAAAACATTTAAGTATACATCAGCCACAAGAAAAGCAAACCCAAACTTCCCAAAACCATAAAAATTGTACCTTGAGGTTCAGACATTTTGTTTACAAACAAACCGTTTGGGTAACCAGCATAATCGAATGGATAACCAGTGAGATAAAGACTGAATACACTTAAATTTACTGAAAGCACATTATTACAGAAGAGGGCCTCAAGAGCTACTTGAATTCACAATTTTGACACTGAAAAACCAAGGTAATATTTTTGCGATTCTGACACTACGCTTTCATAATATTCTTCGAGGTTCGATGTACTGATAGCCAAGATTATGCTGATAGTCTTAGCCTCTTACCGTCAGAGGATATTTTAACCTACTTTTGAGATTTGTATGGAAAGTAGGTCAAAACAAAAAGTTCTAAATAAATGCAATGTTTGAGGTGTCAAGATACTGGGGAATTTCTGAAATCAGAATTGAAATCTGTTTAGATTCTTTGATGTTTTGAAATCTCGAAAAGTCGACTTGATGATATCCTCATGTTAAGTCAATGGTGCGAACTTGATCAGTAACCCAATAAGCTACTTATTCAGCTACTTACCCAGCTACCTACAGTATATCATATTTATAGTGTATATAATATTAATAAGATTTCATTTTCAAGTCCATAAGGGTAATTGGTCTCAATTCTCTGAGTAATTTAAAAATAAGTGAAACAAATGAAGGCCTATCCCTATTTTCAATTTGTTTTAAAAAAATTATGACTTTATCTATATTTATATTATATTTAAGGCATACATAATATATTTATGATTTCTTAGGGGTTAATGATCTAAATTCTCCCAGTGATTTAAAAATAAGTGAAGCGAGTGAAGGCCTTAACCCATTTTTTTTTTAAATTTTGAATGTTATGACTTAAATGCCAAATTATCTTGCTTTGTATATGTAGTACCCCACACAAGTTTTTGATAATAACTTTGACCTGTGATTTGAACACTCTATCCTTAACTATTTGTTATTAAATTTAGCACACATAAACTATAGGAAATTTCCAACATTTGAAATTTTTTATTAAGCCATATGATTAATAATAGTGGTGTAGATAAGTACTCACGTAGTCATCGAATCGTCTCGCCAAGGTGTTATAGAATTCGGCTCGATTAGGAGTTCAGATTTCGCGAATTATTACACGAGTCTGAGACTCGCGAATTTGTATTCGTATTCGCGATTTCACAGCGAATCCTGACGTCAAATGCATTGTTTTTTCTTACAAACAGGGTGAAACTATGTACAAATGATTGTTCCGTGTATCATTTGTTTTTATTTGAATGAATATGAGTAATAAATCTAATTTAAATGGAATATTTTTGAGTCTATTTTCTAATTCCATGATTAATTCAGTCCGTAGAACCAGAAATGAAAGTGCTGCAACAATGTGTGGCGGGAAACATAAAATAAAAAATATTTCAATTTTTGTCGTAATTAATCGTAAGTATGTTATTTAAATCGGTAGATATGGACAACTCTTGATACCTAGCGTACCTAGGGTATTGTGCAAGTGAACAACATTGAAAAAAGGACTAAAAAACGACCATATGACATGCAATGGTAAGATTTTTTCTTGTTTATTTTTTTGATGAAAAATCGCGATTCTTATTCGATCTCAGACTCAAAATCACGCGAATTACTCGATTCCAAAAACCCCCGCGAGTTACAACACTAATTAATAATGGTTAAATGGCAGTAAGTTCAAAATGCTACACAGTTACCAGTGTTTTACCAAATTGCTACATTGTTTGAATGACTATGACGTTACAGCTGTACAGTACATTTACTTGTATAGAGTTAAGTTCATTAGAGTCTTCTGAGTACAGAAATGAAAAGATTTGCAAGTGGTGAGGCTAACCCAAGTAAAACATATACTATTCATAAGTACCATAAATACAGGACTGCTTTGAGATGAAATTCAATAAGATGAATATTGATAATGAGATAAAAGTCAATAAAATTGTTAAAATGAACAATTCATAGAATGATTTTATGACGTCAATTTGGTGAAAACCCATTAATGACACCCTTGATTTGATTACTTGTAATTTTATTGTTATTGAAGTAAAATAAAAACAAAAAATCTCCAATGTTGGAAATTTCCTCTTGTTTATGTGTGCTAAATTTAATTACAAATAGTCAAGGATAGAGTGTTCAAATCACGGGTCAAAGTTATTATCAAAATCTTGTGTGGGGTACTATAGAGTATATAACAAAGTAAAACTGGGATTTTTTTTATACATGATTAAGTCGCTTTTTAGGAATATAATGGCGTTCACGTAAAATTAATGTGCGCATTTAATGCAAAATTTCAGATAAATATGGGTTAAAAATATTCTTATTCACTCTGAATACCAAAGTTAAAGAGTTACACAGATCGGGATACCTTATTACAAGCAAGAAATTGTAAAATTACTTTCAAAAAATTGCAGGCATTTGAAAAATAATTTTGTCCTTTGGGGGTCTATTTTTCAAGGGGAGGGGGTACCAAAAATGATTTTTTTACATGTTCCACGAAATATATTTTGGTAGATTTTTACTATGTCATTTCATATGTTTATATGAATTGAAAAAACAACATTTTATTACTATTGCAATTAGTTTTGGGTCAAATGTTACTTCGACAGGACTAATACAGCAAAATACCACAGAAAGTAAATAAATAATTGTCTAATACATTTTTCTAAAATGATATAAATACAAAAATTGCACCATGGAGACTGCTAAATCACCATAACATAAGAACATGTTATACAAGCTATAAATAGGACAGTAATGTGACAAAGAACTGTATTTTGCACACTGCTAAAAATACTAAGTTATAAAGTGTTTTCCTGTTGCTTTTCTAACAGCTGATACAGCATGTAGCATGCTCCCCTTATATCATGTATATAATATATAATAAGCAATAACTATAAGTTCAGTATGATTGATGACTTCTTGTCAATAAAGGCCAGCCTTGGGAGGTCTATAGAAAGAAGGAATTGATATGTTATGGATATCATTCTATTTCATAACCAGAATCCATATAGTCCTGCTACTCTTCTATTGATTCTAATACAATGATTTTGCTAAGTATGTATAGAGTCAATAAAAAGATATATACAATATACACTGTGCTAAACAGTGCATCCAATATACTTTGTGCTGGTATCTAATAGGCATAAAATCCTCGGTCTGCTTTACTTCAGCACTGTTGCTAACATGATATATATCCTAGATCCTCTGACCATAGAGCTCCAGAATCAATTCAGCAATCAAAAGATAAAATCCTTAGTTGGTATAGTTGGTCATTTTAATTGTCATCATCCTAATTGTCATCATCATAAATACTATCATCTGGTGAGACTTCTATGCATCATTAATGAGGATATCCTGGAAAAAAGATGGATGATTGTTGATAATGCTATCATAACTTTCGTCTGATGAAGCCTTATGAGACAAAATGATGAAGATAAACGTTTTCTCACCTGCATATGTGGACTCGATTTTTCAAATGTCACACGACCAATTTTCTATATAATCCTTTGTACCACAAAATCTGTATAATACAGAATTTCATGATATTTAATCATATAATAAGTAAATTTTCTTACCTACAGGCACTATGTGGTCAAATCCTATCTTGGATACTAGAACTGGAACAAAGACACATAATTATATTAATTAAACTTCCTCATACATGAACAGGGTATGCCAAAAAAACGTCCATATCTTTTAATTTGCTGTAACTTTTTTACTTGCATGGATTTCAATAATGTTTTTGCAGGGGATATTGAATGCACACTTTATTTCGTGTGATTTCTAACAAAGTTTTCTGTTTCACTGCCACAAAAAGCTGCATTTGGTTCTTTTTATTGGATTTTTCAAGGAAATTGCTTAATTATCAATGAAACATTCAATGGAGCAATTAACCCTTTTTACAATGTAACATAATGGTTTACACTGTGACATTATGAGTTACATTGTGACACCATGGCGTACACTGTGACATTATGAGTTACACTCTGATGTTATGTGCTACACTGAACCAAAAGCTTGCACCACATACACAACCAAAAATGAAGTTAAAAAGAAGTAATTAACCAAATGACAAGACACATTCTATCTAATCAGCTGAAGTGAGTACAGTGCCCTAATGTCCACTAATATAAAAATATTGACAAATGTCAAAAGGACTTACTAGAGAATGTTGAATCAAATAAGATAAATCAAACCTTTTGCCAACATACATGTACAGGGAGGGCCAAAAAATGTCCACATTTTTTTCGATATAACATTTTTAAAAATGTATGGATTTCAATAGGATTAGGGCAGAATATGCAGAAATCAATTCAACAATTGTCACTGAACATGAAACAATGATTTGGGAAAATCTGTCTTAACTATGAAAAATATTCTGAGATCTTATTTGTGGCAAAAAAATCAGTATGGTGCTTGATTGAGCCCTCACATTAAATAAATAACCTGTTTCTTTATTGTCCTTTAAGACCCATATCAATACTAAATATAAATAAACGAGAAAACAGCAACTCCGCGGAGTAGCCATTTTGAAATTCAGGTGCCATCTTGGAAATTTCTTCTTGAGCAGTGCTCCTTTGTCCATTGGCATCAGCATACAAAATTTGAACCAAATCCATCGACTAGTATTTAGGTTTTAGAAAAATTACATTTTTAACAACAAATGGCAGCCATTTTGAAATTCAGCTGTCATCTTGAAAAAACAAATGACTATAGACACGCCTGGGATCACTTAACATTTTTTGAAAAATGCAATGTCACTAATATCCTTGATATGTAGGATCAAATTGTAGATAAATATGTATATTTTCAAAAAATAGCAATATAAAAAACATTCAAGATTGCTGATATAAGTATATTTTGGTTGATTTGGGAGGTATGCATCACTTCCAGTGAAAATGTGTATTTTTCATCAGTCTCAGAAAATGTCTCCAGAATGGCAGATGTCCAATTGTTTGATTGTGCCACTCTCTACACTCATTGGATTAATATTTTCTACACATAAATAGTCATATTTCAATAGTCATTGAGTAGGAATTAGAAATGTTTGCAATTGTGTTGACCTACTTATTTTTAAAGAGAGGAAGGTCATGATAAACTCTTGCTTTGTTCATATAGCGCCTGGTTCTTACCTAGAAAGTTATATGAAGTAAGGGAATAGTGTACTTCCAAGGTACTTCTTGACGTATGTAAAAATCTAGGTAAAGACCAGGCGTCGTGCTAAAATGGAACTTTTATGCAATTTTCAGCATGAAATAAAATGATGTCAGCCATTTTGAAAATCCTTAGAATGATCGTGACACATGTGTTTTATATATTCAAGTATATTTTCTTATATCATATTATCATTTAATGAACTAATATATATGCTTGCACTGAAGCACGACCTCCAGAGAAGCATATATGTTTACCATGGCTCTAAACAACATAACAACATGTAATTCCTTTCCATACATTCATATAAATGTACATGCAAAATTGAGATAATTGTTGTACAATCATTTAATCTTCATGTGACATGAGTAATTTTTGTCAATGAATAATTCTTTTATATTCAGTTCACTGGCTGATCATATTTAGAAATCCAGCTCGACTTTCATTGTGCAGGAGAAATATACTGTAAGTCACAATCAGTAGGTCAGAACGCAACAGTTGCTTATAAAATGCCAAAAGCAAAGGGAACTGTATGAGTGAACTGCAATCACTCAGTACTCCCTATATGGAGACAGAGGGTTATATCCAAATCATAGTGGACTCTTTTGAGGACTTAACCATTTTGACTGAAGTTGATGTATGTCAACTCACTTTTGGTGTTTATCAAGCCAACCAATCTAAACGATACACAGACGACCATCTTCAAGTAGATGGGAAATATACCATCATTGTTTAAAAAAGTAACATATGTCCTAATTTGTGTAAACGACCAGTAATAGGTTTGTGTCCTCTACAGGGCGCATAAAAAAACGCAACAAACAGTTACCTCGTAAAACCACAAAATCAGTGATGACTAAATCAACTTCATTCAATGTACCACAAAGTCACGTCCATCCTCTTTGAAATGGTATATCAGTCATTCACATGTGGCCATTGTTGGGTGAAAAATCATTCCTTTTGCACAATTGGCCAAAGTAGGCTCTGGACCAAGTTTCAGATATTGCATAAGTCAGTGCTAGGGCAAAGTGCTAATGGAAGTTCTGACCTGAATTCTTGTGACTTTTTCTTTTGGAGCTTTCTCAGGAGCAAAGTGTTTACCATTCCTCACCAATATATTGCAAAATTTCGAAAAAGAATTGCCAATGGGATGCTTTTCTACACCTTAAACTACAGATGACTCAGAGCTGAGCCATGAATGACGATAAGAGATCTGCGCATCTTTGTTTGCTAAGAAGTGGTTGCATTTTGGAGAGGTATAGGACCACTCTACTACTTTTTGAGTTATAGTAAAAAATGTAAAATAGCACACGTAAAAATGGCGGCCCGCTATGGTTAAAGTATTCACTTATCAAATATGAACAAAATCGCTCCACTACTTTTCAAGTTACAGCAAAAATTGTAAAATCGCTCCACTACTTTTTGAGTTACAGTTAACATTTCAAAATGGCCACATACTACCCAAAATGTTATTAGACATTGTGCCATGCTTAAAGTATTCACATACCAAATATGAACAAAATCGCTCCACTACTTTTCAAGTTACAGCAAATATTGTAAAATGACGTGCAAAGGCAGCCATTTTTTAAGATGGCTGCCATATATTCCTTCTATATTTACATTTCTAGCTTAATCAATTTCCTATATAACTTTTTTACATTTAAAACATATTGCTAATACAGTTTTATATGCAGAACCTAAATTACTGTAAAAACAGCACTAAAATAGCCGCCATTTTTAAATGAGTGGCCATTTTGAAAATTGGTTTTCGAGCAGAACTTCTAGCCTCATTGGGTATATGTGTACAAAATATGAAAAAAAAATCGGGCCAACGATATTTGAGTTATTGCCCGGATGGACGGACAGACGGACGTATGTACAGACGGACGGAGGCGTTCCCTATATCCCTCCGAACTTCGTTCGATGGGATAATCAGCATAAAAATTTCAACCAAATCCATCCACTAGTATTTGAGTTATCAAAGATTAATTTTTTACGAAAAATGGCCGCTGTTTTGAATTGACTAGATGCCAGTAGAAATAATCTTGATTTACGTCATTAAATATTCAAAATTCTGTCAAAGTGATGTCATATTTGAAATCTGCATGTAAAAGTACATCTAGAAATATGGTTTCAAAAATTGTCTATCAACTTTGAAAATTAAATTTTTTTGAAAATGCGACTTCTTGTTCGGGTTGATTCCCCATAGACCCCATGTTACAAAATCACAAAAAGTGAATTATCTTATCTTGTATTGGACAGATAACATTTTCTTTTACTGGACATATTTTAATTTGCATAACTATTGGATACATAAGAGTTATATGAAAGTTAAACCACGCAAAATGGTCGCCATTTCGACATTTAGTAGCCATTTTGAAAATCTCTTTTTTCAGCATAGCTCCTTTGTTCCTAGGCATCAGCATATGAACTTTAAACCAAATCCATCAACTAGTATTTGAGTTATCAAAGATTATATTTTGAATTAAGCGGCCATATTGAAAATTCCTTCTCGAGCAGAGGTTCATAAGACATAAGCCTAAAAATTTGAATCAAATCCGTCAACCAGTATTTGAGTTATCGCCTGGACAAACGAATGGACAGATGAACGGCTTTCCTATATCCCCCACTAACTTCGTTCGGGGGGAAAATTATATTCAGTTTACTAAGAAATGGGTAAGAGAAAGATTTTATTAAGGAAATGGAATCTTATAATCATCAATCTCGAAAAAGATTCAAGTGGTGAAAGTGATTTAAACTATTATAAGATTATGTTAAGATTTCTAGTTGAGTACTTATAAAAATCTTTAGTCCACCTTTGAGATGGTCCCTTGTAGTGAATAAACCTGCATACCGTTATGCAAATGAAGTGCAACTGTAATAAACATACACGTTCTTACTCCCTGATTTGCATATTTTTGATTTTTGTTTTTTGAAATTTTGTTTTCTAGCTTTAAAAATTAAATCAACTGAACAAAAAATTATTGAATCACAATTTCATTTGGGACAGAAGCATTCCATTCGCAACATATTGCTGTTTTGTGGATATAAATTTTTATTGCAATTTATAGCAAAAATGCTTATTCCTAATGCATTGACATAGACTTTAGTGTCTGTTTACCTTTATAATTTTAAAACCCCTAGAAATTTATTAATCCCACTTCAGAAACATTTGTAAAATTGATTGCTGCATATCCTGCCAAAATTTTATGGAAATCCATGCATTTTAAAAAATGTACTATTAAAAAATGTGGATGTTTTTGGCCCACCCTGTACATGTAAAATGAGGAAAGGAATGACATGGCTTGGTATTAGAAGACACACATATAAAGCACTGGTACATGTTACTAAGAGTAGGATGCTGGAGATAGTAGCAGGACATTTTACACCAAACCAGATGTAGGTATTTACATGTACATGGGTTAGTTATTTACCTTTCCTATGTTAATGCTTTGAAAGTAAGAAAAATTGCACTGTAAGGAAATACTCAAAGACAGTATTAAACAAAGCAAAAATTCAAAATACAGTATACATTAAGTTACAAAGTAGTTACAATTACAGGGGATAGAAACGCATCCAGTATTTTTGTCCGGCACAACCAGAAATACTTGATGCAGACCTCCATTATTGAATTAGTTTTTCAAGTGATTCAGCCTAACTAGTGTACTTTTAATTGGTAGTCTGTGATCGCTTTACAGTGTTTCATTACTTAGTAACAGGTTTATCAGATTCCCAGTATAATGAGGAACATCCAATTCTTATAAAATGACAGCCATCAATCTAGTTTTTCTGTAATGTGGGGTTAAGCACAGAAATATTTTGATTTTTCAGGAAATACATGAATCGAGTTATATTTCTTTTAATTTACCCTTTAATAGATATTCTAACATGATATGTGATGTCACAATGACTAGAACAATTGATTTATTGGTCTATATTGGGGTATGTATGACCTGTAAATTTCAATATAGACCAAAAAATTGTAATGACTATTACAATGCATACTCACCCCCTCTGAACCAATTTAGTCACAATATAGACATGACAGATGTCAATATGTGACGTCAATTTCATTATTGATATTTTGCAAACTATTTAGCTAGGAGGAAATCTGGTAAATAGAATGTCCAAAACATTAGAATTTTTCAGATTGAAAATAATCAAATCTGAAGAAGCTTAGGTTTCATCATGTTAGAATCGTAACAAAGACCTCGATTCTATGATTTATGGCAAATATATGACCTCAAATTTTATTCTGCCCATTGCTACGCGATTTCTGTCTTTTAACAATGAACAGAATAAAATTTTCGGTCATATATTGCCCCATAAATCATAGAATCTCAGTCTTTATTCCTTAAATATATGCCATTTTCTTGTGTCTGAAACTAAAATACACCATTTATGAGGATTAAACTCAAGTATGAGGCATGGTTCACATGCTTTTAATTGTTTATTCTAAAGAAATTACCTTATTTCACTCCTGTACCTCATAGTCTGCACTTGTCTGTCATCTGAGTAGGGCTTCAAGATGCGTTTGCCAATGTATGCCCCACTCATGCTGGCCTGAAGAATAAAAAAATGATATATAGAATATGGACAGTTACAAAGTTTATATGTTATATATTTTGAAAATAATCAAATCTGAAGAAGCTTAGGTTTCATCATGTTAGAATCGTAACAAAAACTTGACCTCGATTCTATGATTTATGGCAAATATATGACCTCAAATTTTATTCTGCCCATTGCCAAAGACCTCAATCGCTACAAAACATATAACTACTGTTAACAATAACATAGGCTTTTACAACAAAGTACACCTGAAATTATTTATAAAGCTACTCAATAGTTAAAGTATGAAAACTGAAAAATACCATTCAATATGATACAAAGTATTATCGCGCGCAAACTTTTCTTAAAACATTCAAAATGGCTGACATGACTGAGCTAACAGGTACAAAACCTAATCAGATGAAGAATGAAGTAAGCTGAACAAGATGTTAAAGTTTCAAAAGCAACTGTGAAGCCGTTTTTCTTAACGTTTGCAGACATGGATTTTAGCATTTGACTTCAAAATGGCCGACAGGAAGTAGGTATCAAGTTAAATTTTATTCATCCACATCTAGATGCACTCATAAGTTTTTTTCTAGAAACTAATATCACCCTTAAATTCCTCTCTCTCTAATGGTTATTTTCCTAAACATCTTGTGTCTTTTTTCTAATGTCTTGTTCCTTACCCTCCACATGTGGGGGGCACAGAATCGGGAGGGGCTCACACAAACCTTTGAATGTTGCATAATGTTACAGTTTGATCATCATATCAAATTTTTTAATAAACTAAGTTTTATTGACACATTTGATAATATGTCGGATGAAGAAAAATATAACTTTTTGATGACTTCTGATGATTTTGAAATTGTTAACGAATTGATACATTTTATAAATAAACTTTTTAATCAGCGTCGGGAGCTATTTGAAAAAGGAAAGATTGTATGATGGTATTTGTGAAACAATGCATGTTGTTTTTTTGACTGTATAATTATATGTAAACGTCTTGTAATTGATTTTGTGAGGAAACCAAGTGTTTGGTTTGAAACACAATAAAATCTTGAATCTTGAATCTATCAAAATATTTACATGCTTCTCCTTAATCAAACTGAATAATAACAATGACCAAATTGGTCACATTTCTGTGAATATGTTAGTCTTGTTTCAAGACCCCCACCCCCTACTTCAACATAATAATAATGGGGGGGTTAGGGAAGCAAGACTATGAATATGTGTAAGTTAGTTGCAAATGGAAATAAACAAATATGCAAGTTATAAAGGCATGTACATGTATTAAAATACAACATAACATAACACATAAGTAACAATACACAGTGTTCTCACTAGGCTTTTAGATTCCGGAGATTCTCAGGGGTCTAGTGTCTTTAGATCCTTTTGCTCAAGAGTATGATAGCTTTTCCGGAGTCTAAAGTAATATTTTCAAAAGTATACTAATAGGATATCTCTGATCTCACATGGGGGAGGAGTAGTCGCTATGCCACGAAAAATCCAGGGTCTAAAAATTTCCTGGTGAGAACACTGATACATTATTTATGTATTAACCATTCTATTCTAAAGTTATTTGTAAATATACTGGATAATCCAGGAGCCCCTTGTTAACAAAACCTCAGATAACAACCTTTAAATATATACATTTCAGAGAAGAATTATAAAAAACATTATTTTCTTTTATAACATTATTGGTAAATGGTAATTAGAGGTAAACTAGAAAAATAGGTAAAAATCAGGACTAAAGAAAGATGGTAAGTCACACAACACATGTGGTATTTGGTATTTCCTGTTCTTTTTTTCTTTTTTATTTTCTATTCTTTTGTTTTCTTGATATCACATCATTGTAAATGTTGCTCTGGTAAACAAAAATACCCGGAAATACTGAGCAGAGAAAAAATCCCTATCATATTCTAGCTGTACAAAGTATAAATGTATATATAAACTAATATGTAAGTGTAAGGTACGATATTGCGATCAGTAGCCTATAAAGTCCATTATGAAGAAAAGTGTATATAAACATCATGTGCAAATGTTGTACCTTATCAGTTTGAACACTGGCCTCTGCAAGTGTCACATGACTATTGTTGCCTTTCACTATCAACTGAAATAAATCATAGCATACATGTACATGCATCTCAGGTGTTGTCTTATTAATTATTATATATTAGACTATATCAGTATATACATTTGTATCTGTTAGTGATATGTCATGTTCTTTAAGACTAAAGTCTGTTATTTCATAAACTATTTCCGTCGAATTCTTTGTACTATTAGCTTGAAAATAAAAAAATTGAAAATCATGTATAAATATTCTTTGAACTTGGAAAATCTCAAATAACTTGAACAGAAATTTCAACACTGATTCAAAGTCATTACAAAATAGTGTCACGAATCAGTTTGTCCCAAACAAAAAAAATTATGAAAGACAATTATCATGAAATAACATACTTTGTTTCAAATCTCAAGGTGTGCACTTAATAAATCCCAAATCTTGCGTTTATCAAAAGTATTTGTGATAAAATTGCCACAGAAATAAGGCATCTAGAATGTTATATGGCATTGGCATTTGAAGCAAGTTTGAAAAAGACCTTTTTGACCTTTCTTTGACCTTGAGAAGGTCATTGAAGGTCAAATCTTAAATCTAAAATTAGATTTGAACTTCTGATAACTTGAAAAAGAAATTTAGTCAATTTGAAACAAGTTGAAAAAAGACCTTTTGACCTTTTTATATCTTTTTTTGACCTTGAAAAGGTTATAGAAGGTCAAATATCAAATGTAAAGTCAGATTTCAACTTCTGAAAACTTGTAGATGATTTGGAAAAAATTGAAGTCACTCTAAACAGTATTTTAATTCAGTGCAATTCAATTTATTATTCAATTCTTATACAGTATAATTTTCATACAGTATAACATTATTGGGGAATGGTAATTTGTTAAGTTATTGGAAGTTTTAAGTATTTGTTAGACGCCAACCGCCAAACACCACCCACAACCCGCCGATCGCCAACCACCAACCGCGGCCACAAAAAAAACAGAGACCATAACAATATGTCACCACTTTTTGGTGGTAACATAAAAAATGTTGATTTCAAGTTATGTAAAGATGCATGATGGGATCATTTGTTTCATAAGAAATCAGAAAGCGTTGAATAAGTAAGCTTAATATTGGGACTAAGGTTACTTATTAGTCCAATGCAATAAATCTGATATTCATTAATATTGGTAAAGGAGTGAATGCAATTCATGCAAACATTGACAATAATAAGTTTACAAACCATTTGTTCATGCATAAGTTCAATCATTCTATCCCGCTGTTCAATCTCTTGCTTGTATGCTTCAAGCATTTCACGTAGCTGTGCATTTTCTTCACGGAGAGCATTTTCATGTGGGGAAGTTGGAACAGTTTCTTCTGTTGGAGTACAAGGCTGACCCTGTAAATATCATACCAAAATAACACAATAAGTTCAAGAGGGATGCAAGAGCTGGTGCAATCAGACTCTCCATCCATGACTTATACAACAGGTAAAAACTACAGGAAAATTTGGGAGATAAGTTCCCCAGGGATAAGTTCTAGATTTAGTCATTATTATTACCTCAATGTTTGTCATAGCCTAGGTAGTACCCCTAGGTAAAAGTTGGCTGTAGAGTTTAAAGGTAACTCAATTGTAAAGTAGTTTCTGTTAATGTCATTCCTTTTCATTCTCCAAATAAAATCTGAAAGTTCATATTTCATTCCACATGTTCCATGATAGCGGAATAAAATGTCTGATTCTGCCTTTAAAAAGATATACTTTAAATGCACAAGATATGAACTTATAAATACCAATCAAGTCATACCTCCTGTAATGCCCTCTTAAGTTTGTAAAGCATAGTTTTACATATGGTGAGTTCATTGAGCATATTCCTGTGTTCCACACCATCGACTATCACATAATCATCATCACTACATGACCTCCTATGTTCAGGTCCACAACTCAGACTGTGTCCACTTATCCTCCTATGTCGCCCTGATTCTGAGTCATGCTGGACACGAGTTAACTCAGGATTCTTGATGCATTGTGTATCTGGACTGTGTATGTGAGGTTCTTCGGGTGTGAATGTAATGTCAAGTGTTAGGTTGTTTGGTTTGGTTGGGGAGGATTGTTCATTGGAATGCTTCATCGGAGTTATTACTGGTTCATCTGTTTTTGCTTTTAGTGACTCTAAACTTGGCAGAGGGGATATTGACAGAAGTGGGTCTGAAAATAATTTTAAAAAAGTGATTGTATAAGCATAGCACATTGTAAGTTGTGTGTGTTTACATCTATAGAGCTGTGAAACTGGATTTGAAAACAACAATGACAGCATTCACTACATGTTCACAATAGGATTTGATTTTCAAAATTGAAATGTGAACTAATCCAATCATTTGCATATATGTTATAGTACAGATTTAACATAATTGATAGATGTATTTCCCTCTCGTATCACATAAAGGGATTTTACCTGGTGATGCCTCTTCTGTCACAGGTAGACTGGGGTGTGGGGGAGGTACTGCTGCAGAAGGTTGGGATATTGTAGGCCTAAAAATGAAGTGTACATTGTTATGACTCCTTTTACCCTATTTAGGTACATGTATATGTTATGTACTTAAAAGATAAACAAAAAGCCATTATATGATCAATGGGGCTCTATCTATGAAAGGAAAATGTAATACCTGCAACAGGTTGTTTATGAATTCAATTTTATGTGATTGATATTAGTGCAGTAGAGTTTACTATTACTCTACTTAAAGTTAGCAATTAAATATATTTCATGTTTTATGGGCTGGCACCTATTTAGAATCACTACAATATTTCCTTTCAAAACTTGCTTATTTGTAAACTTAAGCTTTAAAACTGCAAGATTTATGTGGGAAAACCAAACAATGAACAAATATTTGCAGGACATGAATTTTCTATTATTTTGAATAACATCCAAGATTCCAATTGTTTCCATGAAAAAGCAAAACTTTTTATAATGGATGAATAATGACTAGCAAGGACAAATTAAAGACCAAAACTAACAACCTACTCCAGGCATATTTATGTTTTCATTTATTTTTAATTCATGTATGATCAGAACTAAACATGTAGCAGATAACATAGAGGTACAAATGAAGTCATAAAGTTAATGTTGATCTTGCTATATGCTATGATGCGATTGTCTTAGATCTGTATTCCTGTGAGACTGAATCTTTCAAAATTTTGTCTGAAGTAGATTTTTCATTCACTGAAGATCATGTGTTTGTAATTAGGAATTTTAAGCCCACATGTTCTTTGATTGATTTAGCTTGAACACATACATGTAGATGTAAAACACATACCTATGGGCTTTCCTTTCCTCCGCTATGGCTTTTTCAGCAGTGGAAGGTAGCTTCTTAGTGGCCTGGGTATTAGTGTTCTGTTTGTCTTTCTCTGATTTTTTGGATGAAAAGGAGAATCTTAATTTTGACATCAATTTTGATGCTCCAGATTGTTGCTGTGTTTGTTTGGGGGATGCACGTGTGAATGACTGTTGTTGCTTTTGTTCTTTTTGCTGTTGTTGTTTTTGCTCCTTCAGTTGTTGCTTTTGTTTACCCCGACTACTCTGAGCAGAGACTGTCTTTGCAACTGGAATGTGTGGTTTTTGGCTGGAAGCTGTGTCCATTTTTGGCATGACCAAATTCATATTAAAACTGTTCCTTTTATCTGCTAATTCCAAATTATTTTTGTTATGAATACCACCATTTTGTCTCAATTGAACTCCTTGAGACCCCTGTCTAGCTGGGGCACTAGCTTTACTACTGGGTCCTACAACGGGCCTTCCCACTGAAGGGCGCTGCTGGGTTGATATATCTGCAGGCTGACTCTGGCTGGATGGGATTGGGGGCTGCAGTGTGGACAGTTTGTTGGTAAAGCCTGGAGCAGGAAGGGAAGACTGCCTAGGGAGATGACCTGGAACTCTGCTAGGGGCCTGCAACCTGGAAACAAACAAAAAGCAAACATGAGAGATTGTTATTTTAAGTTGAGAACATGCGTGCAACCAGCAATTACTAACTACTTTCCCTCCCTGCAGTCACTATAAACAATGATGTAACTTATAACTAACAAAGTATTAAGAAACAATTATGAACCTCTCAATGAATGCAAACAAGTAACTATAAAATGAATCACGATCCAATCTTTGCAGAGGAACACCTTTCTCCACAACTACCTTAACTATTTTAAAAATGATTTAGCAGAAAACAGTAAATCATACTTGAGTAATACATTCAATGCAGAGAATGTAAACCAAGGTAGCATCCTTCTGCAAATGATATGTATAAATAAGGTTAAACCTTTTGTAATGAGGATGCAAATTGTATATCCCTTCAAATGAAATATGTCATGAAAATCATGTAAAATAAATACTATATTCAGTATTCCCTGCATATCTAAATTAAATCATAAAGTAGTTTTCATGATTGTCAAACAATTCAGCGCCATTATCATTTTATTTGTTCATGAATTGTCTCTTATGCGTGATATGTGATGGAAGAAAAATTGTTGAGCATGACATTTTATGCAAGTTCATTGTAACATATGTTTTGATAAAAGACTAATATTTTCGAAATTTAAAAAGTTACTCGACTTTTTTGCAAAAAAACTTCCAAAAAGTAACAGTCGCATGAATTCATATTGTCGTACTTACAAAATGATCCACCGCCTAACTTATGCACCATCGAACTCGGTAAAATTGTACACGTAACGATTAACTACGGTATATTCCCATAGAAAACTGGGCTTGCTTTTCAACATTTCAAGCGAAAATTCTCAACGGAGCTTTTGTTTTTCTGACGTAATTTCTTCTAAGAAATCGGTCACGTGATAGGTTCAGTTCATCTTATATCGAAAGCGGTGTCATCTATTTAGAATATTTATTTTCATCTTGTCCAGTCCTATATACAACCTGCCCTTATCTTTTTCGCTTGTAAAACCGTGTAGTAATGTTGAAATTATGGAATAGATTCTCTGAGAGTGGCGACATGTCTTCATCTCTACCATCTTGCGTTTGACACCCTCGTTTGGGCGAGTCCAAGTAAACCGCACATCCGGGTGATTAGAAAAGGGACATTTTTTTTTAAAAAATCGAGCGGCAACAAAGGTACTTCTGGTCAAACTGAGTTTATGACGAAACTTATGAAAGAATCAAGAAAAGGTAAGTGGTATACATTAGGCCGATGCCAAAAATTAAACGTGGCGCCAATTTGAAACTTCAGAATGCTTTCTGTGATTCAAAATCACAAAAAAGTCGAGTAACTTTTTAGATGTCAAAAATCTTAATAAATTGAATGAATTTTTAAGTCCACTTTACTTGACAAAAATTGAAATTTAGGAACCCGCTTGTTCGAAACCTATGCAAACCTTAATATCCTTGTATTTTAGGGTGAATATAATGTAGCCATACTTTGAAGATATCAGAAAATGATTGCAAAAGCCGACATTAGGTGGCCACTTTGAATTTTACAAGGCCTGAATTAGAAAAACAATATAATATTTGCAATCTACTATAATAAATTGCTTTTCATTTGAGTATAATAAAGCTATACTTAAGAAAGATCTGAAGTATTATCGAAATTCCTATTTTCCCGACCCCCATTTTGAAAGTGGCAGCCATCTTTTTTTGCGGAAAACTATTTACCAATATACATCATTTCACCAAACATTTAAGAAATCCATCCACTAGTATTCAAGTATTCGGACAGATGGATGGATGGACTGATGGATAGAGGGCTTCACTATATCCCTACCGAACTTCATTCGTTGGGGTAAGGGGAGGCATCAAAAGTTCGATGTCGGATCGGAAACTAAATAAATCTAGTTTTGACTCAGACCCCCCCCCCCCCTCCCCCCAAAAACTAAATACCGTGAAAGTTGATCGCTTACTTCCGGTTTGAGAATTTGAAAAATTATTGCTAAACACGATCTAGTTTTTGTTAATTCCTATCATAATTTGCGGCTTTTAACAACTATTGATAGAATAGAATCCATTGGAAAGATCTTGACGAAGAAAGCATCAGGTAAAATCTTTATTTAAACCATTCCAAGGCACTGCTGAGTTGAAATTGCCAAAAATTTGAAATGTTGAAATTTGTCGGATAGCAAACTGAAATGAGTTTGAACCCCCTCCCCCCCTAACTAGATTTATTTAGTTTTCTATCCGACATCGAACTTTTGATGCCTCCCCTAATAATAGCTATTATCTAAATAGACTAGACATACAAAATTTTCACATTAAACTTTACCAAGCATTGCCCAAAAAGTAATCTGTCACACCAAAAATAATCCCTAATAATTGCAAATCAATCCATCAAGTGATTTGCCTCAAAATGCGCAGTTCAAAACGGCGTCCGAAAGAGCTAGTATCTTAAAATATGTCAGATGATAATTCAAAATCATTTCATTTTCAATGAAGTGAATAAAGGTATACTTAACATTCTGTCTCTCAATTTTGTCTTTTGCTTTATAAAGTTTATCCTATATACACTGCTACCCACCTAGCTACACAGACGTATCGTCAGTGTATCATGGCTGAACTACTTCCGGGATTTGAATTTGGTAAGATATTTTTATTTCTCGATTTACATCTACTTATAAGTCACGATGTGGATTATAATTTGGCTCGAAGTTAAGGAAGATAGTCTAGTTTGAGAATGTGTCGATGATTTTAGGTTTGGTATGTTAACGAAGACACATTTCACATATTTAGTCCCTCACTTTTGTTACACTGACGATCGGTATCAATATTGCCAGTATTATACTGATATTGGTCGTTCGTCAGTGTAACAAAAGCGAGGGACTAAATACGTGAATTGTGTCTTCGTTAACATATAAAACCTAAAACCATCAACACATTCTCAAACTAAACTATCTTTCTTAACTTCGAGCCAAATTATTATCCACAACGTGACTTATAAGTAGGTGTAAATCGGGAAATAAAAAAATCTTTCCGAAACCTAGTCCCGGAAGTAGTTCCGCCATGATACACTGACGATACGTCTGTGTAACTAGGTGGGTGGCAGTGATATAAGGTTCAGGATATTCAAATTATCCATATCATATATTTGTCTGATGGCTGGAGGTCCAGAAGGCAGATATATTATATTGGCCAAATTATAACCCCAAATGAACTATAGGATGACCTGTTTATCCTCGTACATACTTTGTTCATTCATTTCTGAATAATTGACATTTTCTGGGAGCATCTGAAAAATCAAGGATGATTTTCTAAATTGTAAAATAGTTTTTTCACGAGAGAAGAGCTATAATTAAATACTCATTGTAGTTTGAAATTTTATTTTCACCCAAGATTTTTATTTTCAATTCTTTTTCAATTCACCCATTTCCTTGAAGAATTTGAGATCAAGATTTATCAGAAACATAAAACTGAAAGGTATTATTTATCTCATACTTGGAAGTGTTTCAGGTACATAAAGCAGATTTGTAAAATCTTATATTTTCATCAACGGGCAGATATAGCTAAATACATCCCAGCCTGATTGGGCAGATATATACTGGGGCCCCAATAAGATATCTATTTCCCTCGGGATATGGCCCATATTCAAAACATCCCACTTTCATGTATGAAGCATATGTCGGATATATTATATGCATGACATTTATTTTTCTACAAAGCATACTTTTTATTTATGATAAACAAGACCCTTTAAGAAAGTTATATCACAACTAAACTCCCTCTGTTGCTAGTTCGATATCCCTATTCATCCTTTTACCTATTTCAATACATGTAGTTTGATTTTGCTCTTTTAAAAGTGAGCTTCCTCTATAAATTACAACTAGCCTAAGTTTCAGGGTATTCTGTATCTACTATTAGGTTTCAATAAACAATTTAGAGTCAGTCTCTTCAAGAAATCAATGTTGTAAGCTCTAACTTCCGCAGAAACTGCTTGTATGCTCTTGCTTCATATTAAACAAGTGAAATCAATCATCTATGATATTTATGGAACATTCAAACATTTCTTATCTGAGATTCAGTTATTGTGATGTTGTATGAGTCACATTGAATCAATATAGCTTGATTATACAAAATGAATTGACTCTTGACTGTTTGACTGAAATGACCAGTATGGAAGCTTTGTCTTGAATTATTGAACCATTTCAATTTTAGATAAAATTTATTCATTCTTACCTTAAATGAGAGTCACTTTGACACAAAATGAAAAATTAAATATTAGTTTCAAATTTTTAAGAATAAGATATTAGATGTCAAGGAAAGTGTTGAAAAGACTTTAGTAAACCCTTGGCTTAGTTTCCATTTGGCAACATATACTCTGTTATGAGAAACAATAAAGGTAGGTACATAATTACATGTAACCTGAACCAGGATGTAGATATTTATTGAATTGAACTGCTTTCTATAGTCCCAGACTTTACCAACTATGTTGAAAGTTAAATTAGTGATTCTATAAACATTATCAGGGCTCTCACCAGGAAATATTTAGGGTGTGGTGCTAACATCTTCAGAATAACCGTTCAATCATGATAAATCATATTTATGTTATGTTTTATCCTTTTTACATGCTATTATTATGTATTCAGTCAAGTTTAGACCATGGAAACAGTCATGATTTGCCAATAGGGTGTGGAGGGAGCTAAATAGAGTGAGGTACTGCGCCACAGTCTAAAAGCCTAAAACATTTTTCTTACCACTCTAAATGCGATAAACTCAAATATAAAATTCACGAAGGAAGAGAAAGTTATACTCAAATACCATTCTTGGACGTTCTTACTATTAAGGATGGGAGAAAACTAATAACAGATATTTACTCGAAGGAAACAGACACACACCAACACACACCGAAAAGCATCAATGCTAAACAGGACAGAAATATTAAACATTCATCGCAACTCATAATCCACAAAATAGAAGTATGTTTCCACGAATAATGGAACACGTCAATAATATATCGCAACATATATCGTCTAACCTTGACATTGAACAATTCAACAAAACGTTAAAAAATGCGGGGATAAACAATGTTTATGTTATGAACATTTGCATGCAGAGGGTACATATACCTACAAGGACAAAACCAGAACAACGGCAATGCCAAAGCATAGCGAATCCCATCAAACAGAAATGGCTGGCATTTTTACAAACGAAATATATAGCAAATATCATAAAACAACACACCAGAAAGGCCACCATTTTGAAAATGGTTGCTCACTAGCCAAGTTGTCATCAGAAGAAATAATATGCTTTTAAGTAGCCACCTATAAAATTTTGAAAAATCGCACACATGTACTTGTAAAATAACACACATAAAAATGGTGGCCATTTTTCAAAATGGCCGACTACTCCCCAAAGTTTTATTAGACAATGTGCCATGCTTAGAGTATTCACATATCAAATATGAACAAAATATCGCTCCACTACTTTTCGAGTTATAGTAAAAACTAGTAAAAAGTGTAAAAATGACAGCCATTTTTTAAAATGGCCGCCTACTATCCTAAGTGTCATTAGACAGTGTGCCATGCTTATAGTATTCACATATAAAAAATGAAACATACCAAATATGAACAAAATCGCTGAACTACTTTTCAAGTTATAGTAAAATACATTAAAATGGGGCCATTTTTCAAAATGGCCACCTTCTTCCAAAAGTGTCATTAGACAGTGTGCCATGCTTTTAGTATTCAATGGGATAATAATTGCCCCTAAAAGAACGGTTAGTTGCAGTTCCAGTAATCTTTTATATATTCTTATATGTGCCGGATGTGGCGAACTCTACCTTGGTCAAACAGGGGATGTATTGATCCGTGTACACAGACAACAGATTAGGGATGAATCTGTACGAATGTTACTTGTGAGTGATCACATCGCAAAGTGTGCATTTAAAGAAAAGACAAAATTCGAAGTATTACCTCTTTTTACATTCCAAACAGACAATGTTTCTTTGAGAATATTATATGAAGAACACTTCATAAAAATATTTAAACCCAAATTGAATTATAAATAAATAAAAGTAACCATAACAACAAGGTAAATAATAATTGAATATGAATTATATTTGATTTACTACGTAACTATGGTATCTACTATATATTTTATCATTATGCGAATTAATGTAATCAAATGTCGTAATTGAATAATTGATATACTTATTACGTAATACATTCGCATGTTTAACCATAGGCCTAGCCAGGGGGGTGCGATAGGTGAGAATGCTCAATTTGAGAAGGAAGTTGCATCCATTTTAGTAAAACTCAAATTTTGGCTCACTTATGCCACGATAGGCACCCCCCTGACTGAAAGCTGACTACAAAATATAAGGCCTATATTTATTACGTATTCATCTTAAGTCTCTGAGTTTCTACCTACTGTATTAATATTGCTTTGATAAAGTACATTGAAGGACAATTTAAACAGCTTTAAAATGATGAAAAAATCTTGAAAGAATGATATTTTAAAGACTAAAGTATTCGGTATAAATATTTATCTCACCTGCTTTTAGGTATGGCTAGTCTACTTGGTCTGGAACTAGATGCTTCCATTGTACCTGCTGAGTCTCTTATTGCTACTGTACTATCACTTCCACTTTGTACCTGATCTATATTTGTTGCTATACCAACACTGGATTGGTTACCAAGGTGACCAACATTGTTTTTATCCTTTTCACTATCATTGCGAGCCTTATCAAGGTCGTTATTTTTGGCAAGTTGTTCAGCTGAAATCGTGAATGTGTTATTAAGGGTGTCATAACCAGAGTCAGCTGTTGCAATACTGGCATCAGCACCATCTATTCGCGACACTTTAGAATTTCGTGTATTTCTCTCTCTTGTGAATGTATCATCTTCAAGTTCAACATCCACATCTAACATAAGGTCATCTGAGTTGATACTACTCACAGAACTAGAATCTATATAGTCTATAGATGCTATAGGGGCCTTCAGGTTAGCTAGGGGACCCTTCCTAGGGGTGAAAACCCTCCTGCTGGCATCAAACGATTTATCAGAGTCAACAGATATTGTTCTCACACGCCCTATGAGTTCTGTTTTTGTTTTATTATAAACATCTCCTGTTTCCTTGTCAGGATCAACATTATTAATCCCCGATTGCACTTCATAAGGACTGCCTTCATTTTGTTCTATAATGTTACCATGTGGAGTACTGACAATATCGATGTCCGTCTCAGAACAAGGTTTGATTCTACTCTGCGAAAACTGACTAGGGAGTTTCATGCGACTTGATAATCCATTTTTCTCATTGTTCTTTGGATGAGTCATAGTGGATGTATGTATATTGCCAGAACTTTGACTGCTGGTAATGGATATCCTATCATGGTCTAATGGTCGACTCAGTCCAGATTGTACACTTCTACTGCTACGCAAACTCCCTTTCTCTGATACATTATCTCTTATGGATCCATTACTCAAGCTATGGTTTGATTCATTATCACTCACATTGTTTCTATCAATCCCATTAACTAAAGCACCAGATGTATTGCAAGCCTTAATTCTAGGTCCTTTAAGTGCTGATACAAATTTCTTATTGGGGAGAGAGTTTGTCATTCTTGGCTTTAAGACTACATTGCCAGATGTGTCTGGTTCTTCCTCGAGAATGTCATCACCATTTGTTACCCAGACATTCTCTATAACATCATCAACTGGACGTTTGTTGAAATTCTGGTGATTTCGTAACTTTTCAGTTTTTGTTCCCCTGAACCCAAATTTGTTCATACTTGATGACTGAGGTATTTCACCTGTGATTGACTCTGGGTTTTGATTTGCATCTGTTGTCAATGATGTTGGACGTCTAGGTCCACCAAAACCAAACTTTGTCTGTGTTTGGGGAACAGTATCGATGCTATGTGGTCGATCAACTTGTTTTTTTCCATAGCGTAAATTTGCTCCCTCAACTCCCATAACTGTGGTATTCTTCTTGAAGCCAAATGATCCATATTTACCAGAGTTGTATGCCATATCTTCCGTGGAGTAAGTATGAGGGCCGCTATTTGTGCTTGATGTACAGGCACCCATCCAAGGGGGTTGAGTTGCTTGTGGCCAGGCACACTAAAAGTACAATATATACATGTATGAGGATTATGAATTATAAGTGGAATATTAAATACCACAAGGGACAGACAATTAGCTCTGGTTGCTCACTTCCTTTATCATCAATACATTAGGAGAGAACCATCTAAAGTACATGCAAAGGGCAGACAAAAAGCTGTTTTCAACATCATACAAATTAAATAGCAAGCATGCAAATTAAATAGCAAGCATGCAAATTTTTGTAGTGTACCTGCTCCAACCCACATTTATTTAAGGTATAATAAACATGTAAACATGTTTGAAAGTTCACTGATGTTCATAATGACATGACTGTATGTTTAGCCGTGATGAAAAATTAAAGTTGTACTAAAACCAATTGAAGAATCTCTTATTATCTTGTTTTTAGCACAAATAGCATCCCTTTTGTTATTTTGACTACAAAGCTTGTGATATTTCCCCACACAACACGCTTTATTAAGATAAGACTGTCAACCTCTGAAATGTTGTTATTTTTGCCCACTTTTTGAGGTCACCTGACAATGACGTACCATGTGCCAGGTTATTCTTACACTAAATCGAAAAGTTGTTCCAAACCAAAGTAGAAATATACATTAGTTCCACATTCGCACGCATTCCAATAGCCACATAAATATTTTTAATTGATTGAACTTCACAAAATGAAATTCTTGAGGAAAGTGCATATTCATTACATATACAAGGAATTGATTGAAATGCATTTGTGAAACCATATACTGATAACTCAAAATGATAACACAATAATTATATTTTGGCCTTATAGCATTACATTCGGGTTAAAAAAAGGTTTAATCCCCAATGCCAAAACACTGGCAATGTTTGCTGTTATATAACTTTCATGCTTTCAATGGCGTTTCAGCTCGATTGATTCCGAATTCAATTGCAAGTGACATTACACCCTTTGCGAAATTGATGAGAATAGCTGCAATCATGCAATAATTCGCTCAACATAAGAGCGTATAACTCGTTTTTGAAAGCCAGGATTCTATTTTATCTACAAAATCGTAATTCACGGCAAACTGTTTCAACCACACACATGACGTAAAATTTCTGCTCTGAAAATGATACCAGTGTTGCCGCGAAAACAGACACATGCTGACTTTATATCCCCGATATCATGATAAAATGAACTTTTTGAATTGTTGATGGTTCACCATTGCAAAGTGTGGCATTCATACGGTAAGATGGCATAAATATATCTAAATCAAGTAAAATGGTTTTAGTACAACTTTAATTCCTTACTACTGAAATTAAAATCTGAATTGTATATCTGAGTATATTGTGGTTCTATCAGTGTTGACTATTTTTTACTTTTTTCTCGAGGAAACCTTTTTTTCTCACTTTAATTCACATATGAAAACATGAACATTAAGGCATTTTACTATTATTATACAGTACAGATATTTGCGGATGGCGTGGGCAGAGAATCCTGACATATGAGTTTATATGTACTTCTAAATCACCAACATGTTTACCAAAGCGGTACTCTGTCATCACCATCCTTCTTTCAACTGACTTTTCAACCTTCATTATTATATGAGTGTATCCTTTTTCATGTAGATTTATGTGTGTTTTTCTTTTTATTTACTAATACATGTACCTAAGTATTTGGCAGTCTCCTTCATCCTTATGCAAACTTGATTGCAAAATATACCTGCTTCTTTCCAGTTACTGATTGTCAATCTGAATCACATATAAATTCCCTGACTCAAGCAACAATGAAATCAGAGAGAAGTAAACTAAAAAAAACATTTATAACTGTTTTTCAATACATACCAATTTCCTTGGAGTGAATCAGAAGCCACAAGGTAGCAAGAACAACTTGTAACCATAAGAATGATGATTCTTTGTAAAAAGACTTCAGCAATTCACCCACCTGTTTGCAAATGACCTCTTTCCTGAATCCTTGGTCCACTCTATTTTATCTTTCTAATCAATCCATGAAGCACTTATACAGCACCTATAGTCTTTTATCATGCTTATAATTAATTTTTGTCTTTGAGAATAAATAAGGCTTAACTAAAGCTCAACATTCTAGAAAATCATTGAGGAAATACATAAAACATCACAATGACTAGGCTCACAGAAAGACGACTACTATTCGTGATTACACACATACACACATGCAGTGCTATAGACAGATATAACTGGTACCCTGAATTAATATCAACTAGCCACTTAACGCTCTGACTAAATAGAGAAGATTTATAGAGAATTTTAAATCTAGTGAGACATCAATTTTATATACAATATGTACATATCTTTCATGGCATTAAGCTGGAGTTAAAATGTGAAATAAATGTTAGCTAAATTGATGCAGAAAATGTAATGATCCAGATTTTCTGACTAAATATTCTGATTTAGAAATCCTTAATTACAGTTGTGTGGAGAAAGGCAAGCTCTTGCATAGTGTAGAGACAATAAGCACTGTTTATAATGACTGAAAGCTTGCACTGGTGGATCCAAGGGGTGCCCATGCCCCCCCCCCCCGCTTTGGTGGGCCCAGAACATTTTTTAGGGTCCCAAAAGTTTTGGGCAGAAATCTTTAACCTTTTTTAGGCAAAACTTGGCCTTTATGAGCTTGTTTTAGGCCAAATTATCTAAAATTGGGCCTTAAATTAAAAAATTTTGGGTTTAGGGGCCCAAATTTTTTTTCCGGGCTTTCCTTAATTGAAATGTGCACCCCCCTTGTTAGATTCTGGATCTGCCAGTGGCTTGTACTCAAGTATTTTCCTAATATAAATCAATAGTCTGAAGGTTCAACACTATCTCCTTGACCTTGTACTTGGCTGGTAAAATACCTTGCAACTGAACACTGTTTTCTCTAATATGTTTGTTTCTGATAGATATGCAAAATTACACAGTACAATTCTGAACTAATTACATGCTTTTGTTCGCTGTACAATTTTGTTATACCAAGAAATCAAGAAATAAGAAACTCTGACATTCATGAAATGACAAATTTAGCACAGAAACATTTGGCAAGAATTTGAAACAAGCCTGGAGTAATGTATTATTGCTGATACAGATAAGCATGTTGTCCATGCTACCAACAAACATGCATATTTGATCATAGTCCAACTACATGAAAATGCAGTTTCGTGAACTGAACGATACAATTGCTGTTAATAACTCAGTTATTAAATGCTCGGTTTTGGATACAGTGATACATAACAGGATACAGTACAGTGCTTTCCCCAGGATTTTTTTTGTGTGTAGAATTTGAAAGTTTTTAAGCAACATTTTATGATTTTGTAAATTTTTGTGCAACATTTTACGATTTCATAATTTTTTGTGCAACATTTTTGAATTTTGGTTTTACAAAATACATGGAGGTGCTGTGCCTCAGAGATTTCAATGTGGGGAGAGCACTGGGGTATAACCCTTGGCAAATATAACATATCTACCCTTAGTCCCAGCAAAAATATATAGTGTATCTAGAGAGCTATTACCAAGGTTCAGGACAGGGATAAATACAGACTGAATTCATCTTGATCCCACTCATGAAAAGCAAACTCAATAAAGATAAATTTCAAACTTATGTTGTCTATTTTAAATTTTGATATCAATTAGATGATCTGCTCCAGCAAGATGAATGTGAAAATCTCAAAAACTTAAAAATAATAAAAAGTATTGCATGTTTGTATTTCTGAAAAGCAGGAAGTCTGGCTTCAGGCTGAAAAGTAGAGGTCTTGGGTTCAAACCCAGGTCACAGCACTTCTTGTGATTTTTCTTTGACCTATGACTGCTGACCTATATACCTTACGATATACCGGCGATTACTAGAGTGCTGCTAACTCGATAAAAGGCTGGCGCTGGCTAGAATTATCTATGGTTCTTGCCAGGATAAAGATACCAGTTCTTCAACTTGACAATGGGAAGAACTGCTCTACCTTAGTGATTAATATGTCATGATATGACATCTAAAGAGTCAATAAAAGATATATATATTTCAGACATATAGTGACATAAGGGAGACCGGGGCAAAACGGGACACCTTTTTGGTGTTTAACACAATGAGTCAGTAATAAATGAAAGCATATTATTATTCTTTTTATGTGGGATAAATAACTCTGTTTCATTTTCTTTGCAGGGGGTAAGACAAGACACTTTGAAGAAAATGGGACACCACATGCACAAGTTATATTAACATTATTTTCTCAAATATAAGTGATGCCCCATTAAAGCATATAAGCCTAGACTTTATATAATTTTATTCTTCACTTTATTCATAATTTCCAATTTTATGTAAAGTTCTACTGTATTAGTATTCTATCTTTTCAGATCTTAAACATTCCTCCACTTTCCAAACCCATCTTACTTTTCTATCCAGCCAAGGTCAGGCAAATACGTCGCCTAAGACCTCAGTAAAAATTAACTTACCTTTAAATTCTATAATGTGTTACATATCATGAGTCCATATTTAGTTCATTATTTTAAAATCCATGCTGTATGCTCCAGTGTATCTCTTGTATTGTAACTTCAGATTATCTGCATACAAACTGCACTTACTAGTCTTAACTATAAGGTGTTATAAACAATAATTATTCAACCTACATCTGACTTATGTAGTGATGTACATCAAACTGAAATTGCTTTTAGTTTCATGCAGTTAATTTTAACTATTGCAATATTATAATGTCTAATATAATTCACTTTAGATGATACACAAGTGTCTGACCTAATCAATTCATGATATAAAATATACTGCATATTACACATACTAACAATATAGATACTTTAATAAATAAAAGCATAATTTCAATGAATCATATGTTCAAAATCAATATACATATTATCAATAGATCTAATGATCCCAAGATGGCATCTACTGAGACATATACTGTATATAATCATTCTTGAAGTACAAATAGCAGCACTAACTCCTAACCTAACATCAACTCATGTGACAGCTCAACAGATTGGAGATCTCTAGTTATGATATCCACAGACCAGGTTACTGGGGACTAGACCCTTTTACCAT